CCCCTCACAGATGGCCCTGCTGCTGCCTTTGTTCACAGACACTGCCCCACTGTCTCCTCAGCAGGCAGAACAGACTCCAAGGCTCCAGCCTGGGAACCAAACAAGGATATATTCTTTTCGAGCGTGACCTTGCTCAAACCCTTTCCCTGCCTCCCGTGTGACTCTGGGGATCCCTGGACCTGCAGCTCTGCACACAGGCATCAGGGGGGAAAAGGATCGTTTGGGTTGGAAGAGAACTTAAAGATCAAGTCCAACCATCCCCCAGCACTGCCAGGTCCCCACTGCCCCGTGTCCCTCACACCACATCTCCACGGCTTGGAAACCCCTCCAGGGGTGGGGACTCCACCACTGCCCTGGGCAGCCTGGCACAGCCCTGGGCAACCCTCAAGGGCAAGAAATTGTTCCTCATGTCCAACCTCAACCTCCCCTGGTGCAAATTGAGGTTATCTATCTTCTCTTCTATCTCTTCTTCTGTGGGAGCAGAGCCCGACCCCCCCCTGGCTCCAGGCTCCTGTCAGGAGCTGTGCAGAGCCAGAAGGTCTCCCCTGAGCCTCCTTTGCTCCAGCCTCAGCACCCCCAGCTCCCTCAGCTGCTTCTCACCAGATCTGGGCTCTAGACCTCTTCTTTGGCCACGCTCCAGCCCCTCGAGGTCCGTCTTGGAGTGAGGGGCCCAAAACTGAGCCCAGGAGGTTCAGTTTTTGAGGTGCAGCCTCCCCAGTGCCCGATCCAGGTGGAGTCCCCATCCCTGGAGGAGTTCAAGGCCATGTTGAGCAGCCTGCTTTAGTTGAAGATGTCCCTGCCCATGGCAGAGGGCTTGGATCTGGATGATCTTTAAGTTCCCTCTGACCCAAACCATCCTGTAACCCTGTGACCCTGGACATGGCACTGTCCAGTCTGATGTGCCCTCACCCCAGGGGCTCCAGGGGTGGGCTGAGCCCAGGCTGCAGCTCCAGCCAGAGCTCCTGGTGTCTCTTCATAGCCAGCACTGAATCAAAAAATCAGGCTCTCCTCACTGGAGCTGAAAGCCAATTAGCAGCAGTTTAGCTTCATCAACTTCCTGACTGAATCCAAGTTTTAATTAAACATCCCATTTTAATTAGTCAGGCATCACATACAGTAAGCTTGCCTCCAGATGCAAAGGCTGGAGGTCCTATGCTTTAATTAAAAGGAAGAAGCACATGACTTCAACTCCAGCATCTGTGACAGCTCCTCATCCTTTGGAGGGTGCATGTGGAACATCACCTTTTCTTGCCTTGGCTCTTTCCTCTTCTCTTTTACCTCCCTATGGATGCTCCAGCTGCGAGATGCCTTGGTTAGGAGAGAAGAAACAGGGGCTGGCTGCAGCACTTGGGACATCAGAGCAGGTACAGGTCCCCAAAAAGGGTCTTCTCCCCAGCGTGCAAAACCAGTGGGTGCTCAGAGCCAAGTTATTTGCTCTCTTTCAGCCCTGCAGAAGTGGGTGCTGGGTGATCAGTCACAAATCCAGCCCCTGGTAGCTCAAACAGCAGCAGTTTGTACAGTGCAAATAACAAAGGCACCAGATCAGGATTGGTTACATGATTTTGCGTCACATAAATCTTTGTACATGCGCTCCATCAATAACCTTGTTCCTTATATCACCTGATTCATTCTACTAAAGTGCCTCTACATTTACATTTAAATTCTTCTCCTAGCAGTGTGGGTTAGTATTCCTATCACCACAGGTTATGTTAGGGACACCTCAGTGTTTTGATCTTTGTCCAAATCTGTCTCTGGCTTCTGGAAAGAACCCAGAACGAGGCGTTGGACAGAATTTTGCTGTCTTTGGATACTGCTCTTCCGCACTGTGTCTTGTTTCTGGTTATTCTAACCTTCCAAGTTAGTCATAGAGACCTTCCATCCCTGTTATCTCCATTTCAGACCAGTTCATTATATCCTTATTCAGCTTAGAAGTGTCAAACTCTGTCCTTCCAACATCATCAGTGTAGTGCCAGGAGCTGTTTTGGGGTGAGTTGCCCACCCTGGGGTGACAGGGAGCACCTGAGGAGGTGTGCTTGTCTGAAATCTTGGGTGCAGAGAGCCTCTGAAGCAGCCCAGCCTGCAGCATCTCCAGGGAGGTGGCTTTCACAAGGCACACACTTAGGCTTTCACAAGGCACACACCAGGGCCCTGCTGCAGGGCCCTGGGGGTGGTGATAGCTTGTGTTGGCCCACGAGGAGACGGGGGAGTTCTGCAGGAGAGAACTGGGCTTGCAGAGGAGCCCTCCCCTCCTTTGAGCAAGGGGGGAGACTGGTGTCCCTCCAGAACACTCCAGGCATCTTGCCTGGTGTCAGAGCCTGCAAGCGAGCTGGGGTTTGGAATGAGAGCAACTGTTCTGGCTCTCCTTGGTGGCCAACACTAGTGAAGTTCAGGGTGTGCCAGGTGGAGCTGTCACACAGAGCCAGCTCCACCAGTCCAGCATCTGATGCCAAGCAGGACCCAGCACCTCCTGAAACACCAGGCCCAGCTCCCTCCTCACCTCAGGGTGAGCCTGGAGGAGCTCCATTGCTGGCAGCAACCAGACTAGCTCCATCTGAGAGGTGACGTGGAGGTTCAGATGGTGCTTTGCTCCCTTTCTCAGAGCCCAGCCCCCTGCACCAACTGCTCAGGGATGAGGAGACCCAAGGAGTGACAGAAATCCCTTTGGCAGCTGTGCCTGGGAGGAGGGTTGCAGAGCTACTGGGAGCACAAAGAGGGGACATGCCAGATGGGAGTTTTCTTCATTCCCCTGCCTGTGCTAACTCAGGGTGGGACTCTGCTCCAGCCCCATGGCTGGTCCTCTGCACACTGCAGGAGGCTGGGTCACCAGAGCCAGGGTCCTGGCCCTGAGAAGCCCCAAAGATTTTGGGTTTGTTCATCCTGGAGCAAAGGAGGCTCAGGGGAGACCTTCTGGCTCTGCACAGCTCCTGACAGGAGCCTGGAGCCAGGTGAGGGTTGGTCTCCTCCCCCAGGGAACAAGCAATGGGGCAAAAGGAAACGACCTCAAGTTGTTCCAGGGGAGGTTTAGGTTGGATATTAAGAGAAATTTCTTCCCCACAGGGGTTGTCCAGGGCTGTACCAGGCTGCCCAGGGCAGTGGTGGAGTCCCCACCCCTGGAGGGGTTCCCAAGCCATGAAGATGTGGTGTGAGGGACACGGGGCAGTGGGGACTAAAGGAGGAAGAGGGATGCAGTGTCAGACCATCGGGAGGGATGCTCTGAAGGTGCTGAACCATCTTTTTGTAGACAGGCTGAAGGGTTGCTGTGCCCTGGAAGCTGTTGTGCTGTGGGCCTGGGGGTGCCCAGGGTGCAGGAGCAGCAGGTGGCCAGTGCACGCTGGCATCCCTGGGCCCTTAATCAACTTTAAGAGCACATTTCCAAAGCTTTCCCATGAGGAAAGCCTCAAAGAGCTATGCTGATAGACCGAGCCATCCCCTTTTTATTGGAGATGCATTCTCTGATTAACTCCACGTCCTAACGACTCGGGCAGGATGAATTACAAAGGGAGCAGAGGAGTCACAGGGTGCTATTAACATCTCCTGGGGAAGCAGCACTCGGGTCATTTCTGGGCCATTCCTTTGCTGCCTTCTCTCTTCAATAGCAATTTGTTTTTTCTCACTCTCAGCCCAGCTCCATCGCAGCAGGAGCTGCACTGGGTGACCTCCCATCCCTCCTGCACCATCCTCCCCCTCTGCTTCCCCCTCCCTTCTCATCTCCTCCCTCTCCCTGCAGCCACACCTGGGGGTTTTTGGAGATCTTAGAGTTTTGGAGATCTGGGGGCATCATCTAGCTGCTGGGCTCCCTTCTATGTCTGCCACGAAGAGAAAGCACACCTCAAAGTCTGTGAGGTGTTTGCAGGCATTTTGCAGCCCATGAAAGAGGGAAAATCTCTCTGAGAGGCACACTGGGGGTTGGACTAGGTGACATTGAAATGTCCCTTCCAACCCAAACCATTCTATGATTCTGTCACTGTCAGGGTGGCTTGCCCAGCTCTTGAGATAATAACTCTTACTGAAATCATGGCAAAAGAGGAAAATTCCTCCGTGAATGTTTGAAAAGTGCCATGAAAATGAAAAAGCAGAAGACATGATCATTATTATTACATCCCACATGATTATTATGTGGCTCTCGACAGCTCCCTGACTGGAGTTTGGAGCCAGGTGGGAGCTGGTCTCTTCTCCCAAGGAGCAAGCAACAGGACAAGAGGCAATAGCCTCAAGTTGCCCCAGGGGAGGTTGAGGTTGGACCTGAGGAACAATTTCTTGCCCTTGAGGGTTGCCCAGGGCTGTGCCAGGCTGCCCAGGGCAGTGGTGGAGTCCCCACCCCTGGAGGGGTTTCCAAGCTGTGGAGATGTGGTGTGAGGGACACAGGGCAGTGGGGACCTGGCAGTGCTGGGGGAGCAGTTGGACTGGATGATCTTAAAGGTCTCTTCCAGCCAGGGTAATTCTGTGTTTCTCCTGTTAGGCTGCTCAGCTCAGCACGGGCTGGAGCAGGCTGTGGGTGTCTGCACCCGAGGAGGATGGGGCAGTCAGTGTTTGCCATGGAGGACCCTGCTTCATCTTAATTTTCAGGAGAGATTGGGAGATTTTCAGTCTGATTTGAGTGGCCAGACCTGTGCCCCTTTTGCTGATCACCCTGCACAGACACAGGTCAGATCCTACAGGATTTTTGGTGTCTGGCTCCTTGGAGAGCATAGATCGAGGGGAAGTAGCAACTGGCTCACACTGAGACCCAGGATGGATGTAGCGTGTCCCTGGTCCCCCACGGAAGCCTGTGGGGGAGGTGGACACTGAATATCTGCTTCCCAAACCCAGGGCATCCATGATGCTGGCTAACTCCTTTTCCTCTCTTTACACTCAGGGCAGCAGGGACAGAAGGACACCTCGGTGGTGAAGACTGGGAGGACAATGCCAGGCTGCAGTCCATCCCCAGCCCAAATCACACACACATCAGCTCCTCCAGCACCAGGACCTGGCAACGACCTCACTCTTTCTTCTCCTTGCAGAGCCAGCTTTCCCAGGCCCTGAATGGGTTGTCAGACAGAGCCAAGGAAGCAAAAGAATTCCTGGTGCAGCTTCGCAACATGGTGCAGCAGATCCAGGTACTGTGTCTGCTGGAGCTCCTGCCCAGCTCTCTGCAATCCTCTGCCCCCTCTCCCCACCTTGGCTTTTCATCTTACCCCCCTTCCCAAAACCTGCTGGTGGAGGGAGCAGCAGAGACCCCAGCCCTTCATCTCTGCCGTGGGTAGATCCAGACACGTGGCAGGATGGACCAAACCTGTTCCTCACCTGCCATCTGCCACGAGCACTCCACGTGGTGCTGCCCTGGTGCAGCTGCAGGGATAAAAACGACCCCTGTGGTAGCACAGAACAAAGAAATCAGGTTCCCCAGCTGCAGTGGAGAGGTGCCCTGGGCTGTGACACTCTGCTCTGACCCACAGGAGAACAGTGTGGAGTTTGAGGCCTGCTTGGTGGCCCAGTGTGACGCCCTCATCGACGCCCTCAACAGAAGGAAAGCCCAGCTGCTGTCCAGGGTCAACAAGGAGCACGAGCACAAGCTGAAGGTGAGGCCCTGCTCCCCCAGCTCGGGTGGGCACCACCCAGGGATGAGGCCTGTGGTGCTGTTTGTTGGGGTGAAGGAGGGGGGAGGTCACTGGGAAGCTGCTCTTCTTGCTTTCCACTAAAAATGGATTGGGTCTTGCTGCAGATGCCCAGTGCTCCCAGGGTGATGGGCCCTGAGCAATGTGCTGCTTCTTCTGGGGTGACTCCCACTGAATTACTCCATCACTGGGCCAGTTTGTTCAGCCTGGAGAGGAGAAGGCTCTGGGGAGACCTTCTTGCAGCTTTCCAGTATCTGAAGGGGACCTACAAAAGCTGGGGTTGGACTCTTTTCAAGGGCTTGTAGTGACAGGACAAAGGGTAGTGGGTTCAAACTGGAAGAGAGAAGATTTAGATTAGACGTTAGGATGAAGTTCTTCACTGTGAGGGTGGTGAGACACTGGCACAGGTTGCCCAGGGAAGCTGTGGATGCTCCATCACGGAAGGTGTTCAAGCCCAGGTTGGATGGGGCTTTGAGCAACCTGCTCTAGTGGGAGGTGTCCCTGCCCATGGCAGGGGGTTGGAACTAGATGAGCTTTGTGGTCCCTTCCAGCCCAACCCATTCTATGTTTCTATGATTTGTGATTCAATTACTAGTAATTAGGCCAGCAGAGCCATGTGTACACCATCCACAGGCTGGCCAATGACCTTGTTCATGTCCCATGCTGCTTCCAAGCTACTAGCATGATCCTGTAGGATGCTGAGTGCCTGTATCTTCTGCTGGCTTCAGTTGGGGCACTTGGTGTCACAAGATGCCACTTTTGTCCCTTTGTGCTTCCAGAGTCCCTCTTCCGAGGGCATTTCAGAGTTCTGGCTGGAAACATCCATGTCTCTTCTCTGGCTGTGTGTGCAGGCCCCCTAGCCTTGCTTTGGGCCCCCCAGGAGGCTCCTGATAGACTTCCTGGACCTCCCTAAACTGAGAGAGGAGACCCCCAGTGCCCAGTGTGCCCACAGACAAGGGCAGCTCTGGGGGACCTCACTGCCCAACACTGGCACCCAGACGGGCCCAGCCCAGCCCTGGCCTGTCTTCCAGGCACAGAGAGGACCCTGCTGCCTGGGGGGCTCCCCCTCCCTCCCTCCTCTTCCCCTTCAGGGCACGGTTAATTAAACCCTCACAAAGCCAGGGCAGCACAAAGGATTCCCCTGCTCAGCACGACCCGCGGGGACCTTTCGCTTTTTGGCCAGAAGAAGGGATATGCAGCCCTTGCTTGCTCTCAGCCTGTGCCCCCCAACACGTGCATCCCACCCCATCCACCCTTGTTACCAGCCAGGCTTTGCCCTTAGGCAAAAGCAGAGCCCCCAGTTTTTCTCTCCTGGCCCTTAAAAGAAGAGCCCCCAGGTTTTGTCTGCTGTAGCAGACGTGGATGGAGAGCCTGTGTCCAGCTCTCAGCAGCACCACAGCAGCTGGTGTTTAAAACCCAGGAGCTGGTCCCCTCTGCTCTGCAGCCTGTGCAGTGCTGGTCACCTTCTTAGCCTGAAGTGAGTTGGTTTTCCCTTTTAATTTTTGCAGGGGCAGAGGGGGGAAATAACAAACGCAGCAGCGCTGCCTGGGTTGTGCTTGCCTGGGGAAGTCCTGCAGCCCTGACCCACCCCAGTGCCACCTACAGTCCTGCACGCTGGCATCTGGGCATCTATCAGTGCTGAGCAAGAGCTAAAGGGCCAATGGGGGCAAGAGGATGGGGTCAGACTCTTCAGTGGTGGACAAGGGGCAACAGGCACCAACTGGAACCCAGGAGGTTCCATCTCAACAGGAAAAAAATATTGGCTGTGAGGGTGTCCGAGCCTGGAGCAGCTGCCCAGAGAGGTTGTGGAGGCTCCTGGTCCGGAGAGATCCCAAACCCACCTGGGCACCATCCTGGGCACCCTGTTGTGGGTGACCTGCTGGAGCAGGGGGTTGGATGAGATGATCTCCAGAGGTCCCTCCCAACCCCACCATCCTGGGGTTTGCCTACTGAGAGAGGGACAGAGAGGAAATGACCTTTCCAGGCCATCCAGTCCAACCCCCCTGCACTGAGCAGGGACATCTGCAACCAGAGCAGGTGACAGCATCACCCCTTCCCTTAGGAGAGCAGTCCAGCCCATCCTAGCCTGGCCTACATCTCCACTTGCTCCTGCCCTGTCCCCACAGTGTCTCAGCTGAGGAGGCGAGGAGCAGACTGAGCAGCAGGACTCAGCTGTGCCACCCAGGAGCCCTTTCACATCCCAGCTGGCTGCTCCAGGCTGGAGCCCCAGCACCCTGGCTGCAGCCAGGGTCTCTCTGTGGGCTGCTGCTCCAGCTCACTGGGAGGGTGGGCACCACGTGAAGGTACAGCACTGAGTGAGAGAGAAGGACAGGGGACAGAGCCTGCTGCTGGCACTGTGCCACGGGCACCCGTCGCCGCCAGGCTCGAGTTCCCATTCCCCTTGAGAGGGGAGAAGGACAGGGGACAGAGCCTGCTGCTGGCACTGTGCCACGGGCACCCGTCGCCGCCAGGCTCGAGTTCCCATTCCCCTGCTTTACAACTGACCTACTTTGACTTGACACATATTTCGTGGAGGCAGGCACGGATCCAGGCTGGCCTCTGGGCCAGCTCTAATTACTCTAGAGCAGGGAGAGCTCTGGGAGGAAATGAGGGGACATTTCCCTGCCGTCACCCAGTGTCACCCTGAGCTTGGATTCAGAGTAGAAACCCAAGCCTGGAAAAATTACACAGTCATAGACTGGTTTGGGTGGGAAGGGACCTTGCAAGGCCATTTGGTCCAACCCCCTGCCCTGAGCAGGGACATCTGCAGCTAGAGCAGGTTGCTCAGAGCCCCGGCCAACCTCACCTGGAATGGTTCCAGGGGTGGGGCAGCGACCACCTCTCTGGGCAGCCTGGGCCCGGGGCTCACCACCCTCAAGAGTCCAAAATTTCTCCCTTCTTTCTAGTCTAAATCTCTCTCTTTTAGTTTAAAACAGTCACCCCTTGTTCTGTCCGAACAGACCCTGCTACAAGGTCTGTCCCCACTTTCTTCTACACCCCTTTAGGTACTGAAAAGGCCACCAGGAGGTCTCTCTGGAGCCTTCTCCTCTCAGGCTGCCCCAGCCCAACTCTCTCCTGCTGGGCTCCCAGCAGAGGGGTTCCCCCCTCGGGGCATTGCTGGGGCTCCTCTGGCCCCGCTCCAGCAGGTCCCTGGCTCTGCTGTGCTGAGGACTCCAGAGCATCTCTTTCCTCAGACCTCCTTGTCTGTCCTTCTTCTCATTGCTGGCCCTGGTTTTCAAAGGACCAATGTAGTCTTCCCCAAGGGAGGATGCCCTGTGACATAGGCCATTTTGAGCAGGGCATGTAGAGGCTTCCCTGAAGTGTTGTCCCAAGAAGAAATCTCCCCTCAGTCCACAACACACACAGACTGAGCTCTGAGGTGCACCTCCTTTAAGCTCTCAGCAGTGTGGTGGAGCAGTCTGGTCTTCTTCTGGTCTTCATGTCACAGGATGTCTTTGCTCTGTGATTTCAGCATGGTGCTTGGGCTGCAGAGTCCTTGCAGGCAAACAAGGGCTGTCACATTTCCCAGGGGAGCTGATCACATAGGAAGCACTCAATAAGAGCTGCCAGCCATAGCTCTGGATGTCCAGAGATGAAATGCTGGTCTGTGAGCCTTCTTCATGGGTTACAGTCAGGATTTTCCAGGAAGATTAAGGGACTCCCCCATTAGATTAGGTCCCTGGTGAACAGGACTGGTGTGAAAGGCTGAGAAGCAGGACAGGAGCACAGCTTTGCTTTCCTGTGCTGTACCATCTCTGTATGGAAACAGGACACCCAGGTCAGGTAGGCTCATCTCAAGGTGCATGATTTCCCAGAGAGGACACCCAGGTCAGGTAGGCTCATCTCAAGGTGCATGATTTCCCAGAGAGGCAGGTACCAGACTGCTGCTTTCTCTTCCCAACCCCTCCACACTCTGATTTTTCCCCTGCCCTGGTGTCTGACCCCCTTGGGAAGCACCAGCACCAGGAGCTGGGCACCGAGGAGCTCTGAAGATCTGTGATTGAGCTGCAGGGGATGCCTCTGGCTTTCTGATAGCCCTCAAGCTTTCCACTCGTTCTGTTGAAGAGCTGGATCCAGTTTGTCCTCTGTGGCATCTGTGTTCTCCAGGGATCCTCCCTGCACTGGAGACTTTGTATTGCACCTTCCCACACTGGCTGGTGATGCTGATCAGAAGAGGAGGTGCTGCTGCCAGCATCACCCGGGCTTGTTCCCACTGCAGCTCTGCTCTCCCCAGCTCCAGCCTGAGCCTCCTCTCCCAACAGCCAGCAGCAAGTCACCATGGAAACGTCCACCTGCAGGTGCTCTGCTCAGAGGATGTGTGGCTGTGGCATCAGCACAATCAAACCATCAGATCTGCCCCATGGATTTTTCCATCCAGGATTTGGTGGTGAGCTGGCTGAACATCAGCCAGAGTGTGCCCAGGTGTCCAAGAAGGCCACCAGCAGCCTGGCCTGGATCAGCACTAGTGTGGCCAGCAGGAGCAGGGAAGTGACCATGCCCCTGGACTGGGCACTGGGGAGGCCACATCTTGGGGTCTGGGGTCAGGATTGGGCACCACAGGATGAGAAAGACCTTGAGGGGCTGGAGCAGGTCCAGAGAAGGGCAACGAAGCTGGGGAGGGTCTGGGGAACATGGCTTGTGAGGAGCAGCTGAGGGACCTGGGGGTGCTGAGCCTGGAGTAGAATGAGGGGAGACCTTCTGGCTCTGTACAGCTCCCTGAAAGGAGGCTGGAGTGAGGTGGGGGTTGGTCTCTTCTCCCAAGGAACCAGCAATAGGACAAGAGGTAATGGGCTGAAGTTGCCCCAGCAGAGGTTTTGACTGGATATGAGGAAGAATTTCTTCCTTGCCAGAGTGCTGAGGCCTTGGCCCAGGCTGCCCAGGGAGATGGTGGAGTCCCCAACCCTAGAGGGGCTCAAAATACATGTAGATGTGGCACTTGGGGACATGGTTTAGTGGTCATAGTAGTGTTGGGTTGATGGTTGGACTTGATGATCTTAGAGGTCTTAATGATTCCATGATTTTTCCATCTGGGTTTGGAGAAATCCATCACACCAACCTCCATCCCCACGGCCATGGAGGTGACCACAGTGTGCCCAGGGTGCAGAGGCTCCGTGTGCTCCAGGTGACACCCCCAGCAGGACCCATCCTGGGCAGGATGAAGAGAAGTCTCCTGAGATGAAGAGGTGCTCGTGAAGTTGAGTGCCTTCAAACCAGTTCTCTACACAAGTGCTAAAAGGAGGAGGAAGCTGAGGAAGACATTTAAGTGGAGATGAGTGCAGATGTTGTTGCCTTCTAGGAGCTGTATTAGAATGTAAATTATAGTTTGTGTCATCTCAGAGGGAAGAAAAGCTCTTGAAATAAATTTCCTATTTTCAGGTAGTAGTGAACTGCTGTGAGCAGGCAGCAGAAGGGCTTTTTTTAGGCCTATAATCAGCAGCCAGGTTCTGGCTGTTGCCTCCTTTGGCCCCTTGAGGGAAAAAAAAAAAAAGGCATTTGATAAAAAGACCCACAAACAAAATGTACAGAGCTACCCAAATCCCCTGCCCAGCAGAGCCACGAGCCCTTTCCCAGAAGATGCTGGAGACTCCACAGCTTCTCTGCTCTGGTCTTTGACCATCTTTATGGGGAAAAAACCCTATTCCTTATGTTTAAATGGAATTTCTTTTATCTCAGTTGGCCCCCACATGCCTGAAGCATCGCGGCAGCCTGCAGCAAGCACTCACCCTCCAGACCAAACCTTTATTAGCAGGGATAATCTGCCAGGAAGCTCATTAATTAATCAGCCTGGTGCTGCCTGGCGCTGGCCTGACCTCACCCTGCCAGGAGCCTGGAGCCAGGTGGGGGTCGGGCTCTGCTCCCAAGGAATAAGGGGCAGGACAAGAGGCAATGGCCTCCAGTTGCCCCAGGGGAGGTTGAGGTTGTCCCTGAGGAACAATTTCTTCCCCTGGAGGGTTGCCCAGGGCTGTGCCAGGCTGCCCAGGGCAGTGGTGGAGTCCCCACCCCTGGAGGGGTTTCCAAGCCGTGGAGATGTGGTGCTGAGGGACACGGGGCAGTGGGGACCTGGCAGTGCTGGGGGAATGGTTGAACCTGGTGATCTTTAAAGTCTCTTGTAACCAAATCAATTCTATGTTCTCCATGCCCCAGCTCCCTCCTCCCAGACAGTGCCAGGAGGCCCCAGTGCCACCAGTGGCACTGGAGCAGTGGTGGCAGGTCCCCTTGCCTCACTGGTGACCCATCTCTTGGCCAAGGAGGTGCTGGGTGAGCCAGCAGCCTGTCCACACCTGTCTTGGGACACCAGGTCTGTCCTGACCAAGCACATGCTGTTTCTTGGAGCATCATGTCTGGCTGGTGACAGCAGATGGCCAACCTAAACCTCCCCTGGGGCAACTTGAGACCCTTTCCTCTTGTCCTATCACTTGTTCCTTGGGAGCAGAGCCCGACCCCCCCCTGGCTCCAGGCTCCTGTCAGGAGCTGTGCAGAGCCAGAAGGTCTCCCCTGAGCCTCCTTTGCTCCAGGCTCAGCACCCCCAGCTCCCTCAGCTGCTCCTCCCCACACTTGGCCTCTAGACCCTTCCCCAGCTTCGTTGCCCTTCTCTGGCCACGCTCCAGCCCCTCAAGGTCCTTCTGGGAGTGAGGGGCCCAAAACTGAACCCAGGACTCGAAGTGTGGCCTCCCCAGTGCCCGGTACAACCCCCCAGGACCCTCCCCCTGGGCAGAATGGCTCCATGCAGTGCAAGGGGTTGCTCTGCATCACAAGGCAGGGGCTGCAGGCTGCTGCAAGGCTTTGAACCCCCACTGCACCTTCTGGATCCCTCCTCAAAGAACTGACCATCCTCACAGAGAGAGGGAGTTCAGGGGCTTGCCCACGCCTTCAGGAAAGGTCAGTGTAGGTGTCCAGATCTCCAGGACTAGCTGCTGCCTCTTCTCCATCACAGCAGAGCCATGCCAGTGCACTCAAGTGTCAGAAGCTGGCACTGAGTGAACTCTTCCCTCTCATGACAACATTTGAGGCCAGATCCCGGTGTGTGCCAATCGTGCTGCTCACTGGCCCCATCCCAGGGCAATCCAGCATCTCTGCAAGCCTCTGCAGGCACCTCTTGGTCCAGAGGAGCCATAGGGGAGCTCCCCCTGCTGCCTTGTCCACCCTGTGCATGTGGTGTGGTGGCTGCAGCCCCCCTTTTCTTCCCGTTAGGTGATGATGTAGAGGTGATTAAAGTATAATTAAACAACACATGAAGTGAGTGATTGCCTTGCAGGAGTCCTTGCCCCCCTTGAAGCCCAGGTTCATCCACCTCAGGAGGCTCCATTTCACCTCTGACCGTGGGGATGCTCACAGGAGGCAATGCTCCTCAGCCCAGGGTGGTCATCTGAGTGCTGGCGTGGTGCTGGGACTCCCCAGCTGTGGTGCTGAGGACACCACTGTGCTTTCAGAAACGTTCATCACTGCTTGTTGCAGCTTTTCCCATCACTGCAGCTGCAGATGTTGACGAGAAGTTCACCTGTACAAAGCTCATCCTGACTAGCTGTGGTCTCTAGAGCTGCATAGCTTTGTTCAGGTCTAGTGGAGAACCTCACACAGCTTGAAAGAACTTCCAGAAAAAAATAATTCAACATTATCTGCCATGAGCACGTTCCTCTAGAGCAGAAAATCTCTTTTCCTGAGCCACTCTAACAATCTCCTGTGGGAGAAATCCTGCTGACACCAGGCATAGACCAGCACTGCCTCCTTCTGCAGGGATTCTGCCTGAGCTCCAGGTTCTACAGGTTCACATCTCCCTGGTTGGAGCCAGGTGGGGTTTGGTCTCTTCTCCCAAAAAAAAAGCCACAGTATAAGAGGAAACAGCCTCAAGTTGTACCAGGGGAGGTTTAGCTTGAACCTGAGGAATAATTTATTCCCTAAAAATGTTGTCCAGGCTGCCCAGGGCAGTGGTGGAGTCCCCACCCCTGGAGGGGTTTCCAAGCTGTGGAGATGTGGTGTGAGGGACACGGGGCAGTGAGGACCTGGCAGTGCTGGGGGAATGGTTGGACTGGATGATCTTCAAGGTCTCTTCCAACCAAAACCATCCTATGATTCAGTGTGAGGGACCAGCCAACCTTCAGAGAGAGCCCTGCAGTGTTGGAGCCTGGAGCCTGTTCTCCCCACTGTGTTTCAGGCAAGGCCAGCAGAGTCCACAGGCACCAGCCAAGCCACAGACTCGTGATGCTGAACCCATTCCCCTGGGGGAACCATCCAGGCTGCAGGAAGATGTGGGTGCCTTGGCATGCAGCCTGGGCAGCCCTGGGCAGAGCTCAGCGTGCTGTAGGAGCCCTGCTGCAAGACAAGGAGGATTTATCTCCTCTCCCTGGCACTCCCCTCCTTCTGAGCTCATCCCCGGGCTCCCACTGAGATCATTCTGCAGCGAGGTCCAGCTCAGCTGATGGGCAGATGAACATCTCAAGCAGATCCTCAGTCAGGGCTGAAGCTGGGGAAGGTGGTGGGCTTATTCCTCTTGGAAAGACCAAAATTCCAGGCTTGCTCTGGGGCAGTTGGGGGGCTGCTGCCCTGGAGCCAAGCCCACAACCCCAGGGATGGATGGGGCAGCCCCAGGGAAGGATGGGGCACCCCATGGATGGATGGGGCAGCCCCATGGATGGATGGGACAGCCCCAAGGATGGATGGGGCAGCCCCAGGGAGGCTGCAGAGCAGCTCAGGGTCTATGGAGGTAGGTGTTGGCATTGCATGGAGTTCATAATCTGGCACTTGGAAGCTGTCTTAATTAAAACCAGAGCATGGAGCTGCCCTACTGCTTTGGATAATTCTGTGGGTTAATTACTTTGAGCTAAACAAGGCTCGTTGTTGTTCCCCACGTTTTCAAAGATCTGGAATTCGGGTGTTTTGAGTCTTGGCCAGTTTGGCCCTTTTCTCTTCCCTCGAGTCTCTGTCTCTCTTGGCATTGCCCCGGGCCCGGCCCCGGGCCCACGCAGCACAGTAGCCACCTCCAGCTCTCTCTGAGCCACCCTGCTCCCCTTGTCCCCTTGCAGGTGGTGCGGGACCAGATTTCCCACTGCACGGTCAAGCTGCGCCAGACCACGGGCCTGATGGAGTATTGCCTGGAGGTCATCAAGGAGAACGACCCCAGTGGCTTCCTGCAGGTTGGTGGGGGCTGCCTGGGTCACCTCTGGGCTGTGAGGAGAGGGGCAGAGGCATTGCACAGCCCAGGGCCCCGGGGTAACACGGGGGTCTTACACCAAAGGGGATGCCCCCAGCTTTTCCAGCTGTAAAACCAAGGGCCAGCCTCTCGTCACAGCAGGACAGAAGCAGAACCAGGCCAGGGATGGGATGTCCCCAACTCTGACCAGAGGGTTGCAGCAGCCACGGGGGTTATCTCTGGAGCAGTGACCACAACGTGCTGCCCATGGCTCCCCAGCAAGAGACAGGCACAGAGCACCTGAGAACTGCATCCCACCGTTCATCCCTGGGCTGGTCCCTTTGCTACTAGAGCCTGCCTTTGAAATAGTCCCCAAAGCTCCTGGGGTCCCTCTGAGGCCAGTCTGAGCCTGCAGCCAAGCCAGGTCTGATGTCCCAGCCTTTGGCAGTCGGGGCAGGAGAGGGAGGAGAGCAGGGGGGGAGGAGAGCAGGGAGGGAGGAGGCTCAGCCCTGCTGGCCCCCGGCTCCTGAGGCTCCTCCTCGCCACCAGATCTCGGATGCTCTCATCAGGAGAGTGCACCTGACAGAGGACCAGTGGGGGAAGGGGACACTCACCCCCCGGATGACCACGGACTTCGACCTGAACCTGGACAACGCTCCCCTGCTGCAGTCCATCCATCAGCTCGACTTTGTGCAGATGAAAGGTGAGAATCTTCCCAGTGCCTTTCCACAGCACCTCTCTGCTCCCCCTCAGAGCTTCAGGAGGGTTTCTGGTCTTCTCCCAGCAAGATTGGGAGCCCCAGACCCAACCCCAACCCCAGTTCTAGAATCACAAAATCATTTAGGACAGAAGGGACCTTAAAGATACTGAGTGGTACCCCCCCTGCCATGGGCAGGGACATTTCTCACTAGAGCAGGCTGCTCAAAGCCCCATCCAACCTCCTCTTGAACACACCCAGTGATGGAGCATCCACAGCTTCCCTGGGCAACTGTTCCAGTGTCTCACCACCCTCATGATGAAGAATATCTTCCTAATATCTAATCTAAATCCACCCTCTTTCAGTTTAAAACTGTTATCCTTCACCCTATCACTACAAGCCCTTGTAAAAAGTTCATCCCCAGCTTTCTTGTAGGCCCCCTTCAGATACTAGAAGGCTTCAATAAGGTCTCTCCAGAGCCTTCTCTTCTCCAGACTGAAAAAAAACAACTCTCACAGCAAACTTGCTGATGGTGCACTAGATTCCACTGCCTGTGCCACAGACAAAGGTGTTAAACAAACACGTTACACACGTTCCTGGGTATTTTGCACCCCTGGAGCAGCCATCTGCCTCCTTGCCATGGAACTCTGGGCAGCCTTGGTGAGCCTCCAAACACAAAGGCACAAGGAGCCACACCACTCAGCTTGGGGTCTTCCCTCCTTCCCCTCTCCTCCCTGTTGTTTTAGGCCTTCATTTCAGATTTAATTTCTTCCTTGTTCTCCATTCCCTCTGTGCTCACTCTCCTGTACCATGTACATTGCTGTGCAGGAAGCAGAGAGCAACCTGTGAGAAATTTTCACAGTCCCAGCACGATGGGGGTTGTGGGGGACCTCTGGGGATCACCTCATCTAACCCCCCTGCTCCAGCAGCTCACCCACAGCAGGGTGCCCAGGATGGTGTCCAGGTGGGTTTGGGATCTCTCCAGAGCAGGAGACTCCCCAGCCTCTCTGGGCAGCTGCTCCAGGCTTGGGCACCCTCACACCAAAGAATTTTCTCCTCCTGTTGAGATGGAACCTCCTGGGTTCCAGTTTGTGCCCATTGCCCCTTGTCCTGTCTCTGGGCACCACTGAAAATCAGAGTCTGGCCCCAGCCTCTTGCCCCCCAGGGGCCCTTTAGCTCTTGCTCAGCATTGATCAGATCCCCTCTGAGGCTTCTCTTCTCCAGCTGAACAGCCCCAGGGCTCTCAGCCTGTCCTGGCACAGAGATGCTCCAGCCCCCTCAGCATCTTCACAACCTCTGCAGGACTCTCTCCAGCAGTTCCTTGTCTCTCTTGACCTGGGGAGCCCAGAACTGGCCACAATACTACAGAAGTGGCCACACCACGCCAGAGGAGAGGAGGAGGAGAACCTCAGCCTGCTGGCCACACTCTTCTTCATGCTTTTCATGATGTTCAGATGATGGCATTCCTTATGTTCCTGCCTGCTCCAGCCTAAACATGGGTGCTGTGGCTCTCCCCAGGCTCCTCCTCTGTGGTGCTGGCAGTCAGGGTTACACTAATTTGTGTTTAGTTTCCTCCCCAGTGCCAGCCCCACCGATCCTGCAGCTGGAGGAGTGTTGCACCCACAACAACAGTGCCACCTTGTCCTGGAAGCAGCCCCCCCTGTCCACGGTGCAGGTGGAAGGCTACATCCTGGAGCTCGACGATGGCAACGGTGGCCAGTTCAGGGTAAGTGCTCAGGGCACAAGGCTCCACTAGTGCCCTGCCATGAATCATAGAACCATAGACTGGTTTTGGTGGGAAGGGACCTT